CATATAACGAGATGCTATGTGAAGCTCTTTGCCGTCACTCTGCTGCCGGTGTTGATGGTGTTGATGAGCATATTGCATTGGTTTCGTTAGCTTAAAGACATAATTCTGTAATACATCTGCCGATATACACACATTCTAAAAATGCAACAAACCAAACCAAAAAAGGCATTAAAAGGTGAAAGGAATTTTAAAGATTACTTCTTCATGGAATATTTATATGATCTACTTTTCAATTTTGAATAAAGACCAATTTGCCAAACTCTTCTACTGTTTTGCAGTCAAGCTGAAAACACTCACTTGTAATCTTTTCCAATACTACCTAGCACTTAATTACCATTTCTTCTTATTTTCCTTCCCCAAACTCATCTTCCTCGTCGTCTTTTTCATCTGCTTCATTTTCTTTCAAACATTTACTACCTGATGGATACAGCAGTTTTTTGTTGCTAACAGTCAGGCGTACATGACAATAAATAGGGAGTACAAGTCAGGTTGAGAAGAACAACAGAATAGTCAACACGGCCAAAACGGACATTTCTTTCCCTGTTCTTTCGTCCTTTCTCCCCTTTCTATTTCCCCTGTCATCAACATAACAAATGAAGCAATTAATTTTGAAATAAAGAAACAATCAGCTAAAGGTAATCGAGCATAAGAGAAAGGCAATAACAAAGAAGCCACCACTACACCTGTGTACTTTTCAGAGTTGACAGCTGAAAATAGCACACTTAAACATCGGAAAACATCCCAGATTCTCGCTGCACTAAACAACCTCTTAACCTTTGACATTCTTTCCAAAAATTTCAGTTTCAAAACCTATCAAAAGAACCTACTATCCTCTTTCTTGTTACAAAAACCTACTATCCTCTTCCTTTCTTGTTACTTGTTACATCCGCGCCAAATATCTACAGGTCAATCAGAGACCAGAAACAAATAAACAGAAAATTTTTGTAAAAAATTGATACCCTTCTCCCCACTATTCATTAAGCATTTTCTAATGCTTATCAACAACCTCTCGCTTGTTACAGTATATACTACCAATTTCTAGTCTTCCTCCTGTAATTGTATAAATGCAAATAACAAGTACGATAATCTAAATATTATTCGTGGAACATCTGGAGCAATTCATAAAACTTCACAATATCTTACGACAAATTCCACACTAATACAAAAAAGAAAACTGCTCTCTTTTTAAGCAAAGATCAATGAGTGAACCAGTGAAAGCAAATCCAAAGACAATAATTCGATAAACACAAAAAATTCATGAAATTTTTTGTGTAAAACGGCATATTCTATACAACACTCAAAATTAGTTGAAACGGGTTTTTCTTTTTCTTCCTCTTTAAAACTATTTCTTTCATTTCGTTTAATTAAATTTACAACCCATAAATACTCAATTTCCATCTGGTTAACTGATCGAAAAGCAAATTACTTTTGGCGTTATTTAACAGTGAAAAATCCAAACAAATTACTAATCTTGAAAAAAAAAAATCCAACTGAAAATAAAATCTAGAACGTTTTTTAATCTTTCTTTTCAAAATTTCCTGTGATATGCGACACATTTTGAAAAAGTTATCGTCGATTGAAATGTAATAGAGAAAATCATTCTGAAATTGTTAATGTAATAGAACAATTTCAATTAGGTTTGTAACGTAGTATGGCATATATTATACTAATAAATACAAGAGTTCATCAGCTGCTAAACACAACTCACACTCCAAATATAAGCACTTAATGAAGTGGAAATTATTAATAATAATAGATGAGATCGTAACAAGATAAATGAGAAAATGATGGCGATAGCCAGGATTTTTAGAGAACAGTTTGAAAGATAATGAACTGATATATAATGTGAGTAATGAGAGGTATTAAGATATGTGATAACAACAAAAGAAAAAGAACTCGTAATTCGCTGAAAATCGTTAGACGAATTGAAATATTACACACAAATCCAAGTGTTCTTCGTCCACTTGATTACTCTTCGTCATATAATAATAAACTGACGTTAAAAAGTCGACACGAAATTCTACACCAGAACAACACCTATTTGTGCTTCTGCTCAATTAACAATCAAAAAAGACGAAACGAATGAAGTAAAACTGCACTAAAAAGTATAAATGTCTATTGCGAGCCTCGAGCTGTGAGATTCTTGCACGGTTAAAGGCAAAACAATATAGCAACTTAAGTCAAAGCAAATTTTGAAATCCTATTCTTCAACGACAAAAACCTCTTAAATTCAACCAAATGGAAGTAAGGTAATTGAAACAATTGCAATCTATGTTATTTAAAGGTTTTCTATTATTATCAAAGTGAGCATAATAATAATTAAAAAAAAAAAACTTGCATCGACTAATACAATTAAGTAAAATGTTTCTAAGAATTAAACAAAAAGAAAGAAGATGTCTCTTTAGTAGTGTTAACATTGGACAGAACATCAGCTTGGTGTTTATGGGTAATTTCTATAACACCTACATGTTGAATCCAAGCCTCTCCATCACACTGCATTGGCAATGGACCCCCAAATAAACGCAGTTTCAAACTGCGTCCTTGAGCAATCCGAATGCCTTGAGAGACACCAATTTGCAACTGTCCAATATGAAGCGACGAGCGAACAGCAAAAACTTCAAGCTTTTCTAAAAAAAGCGAAAACTTTAAGAACACCGTTCAGCGACTACTTTCACAAAAAATCAAGAAAATTAACTAAGCACAATACAAAGAGTCCAAGTAAATCACAACCATTTTATTTCTACCTACACTTTCTAGCATAAATATTATTTAAAAAACAAACAGGTGGAAACTTTTCAAGAGAAAATTAATGTAGAAATAATGAGTAAAAAAAAAGAAAATGACTACACCATCATCTATAGCTTGTGGCATATCTGACGATTCGCCCCATGGCCTCACTCCAGCCCCCCAAAACGGGATATTCAGTACCACTAATCCTTCGATTTCAGGCAACTCTACAGTGCGGCCATCAACAGTCAATTCTATCTTCTTTTCTAGCCCAGCACAAGCATGCTCCAGAACATCCTTGAAAATCAAAGAGTGACTATAGTAAAACACACGATTTCAAGGATCTCTGCGTAATCGTTATTACTAATTAAATTCTGCCATTAAGACTAAAAGACTTGAGAGAGTATTACTGTATCCTGCAATGAAGAAAGTACACCAAATGTGAACAAAAAATTGAAAAAACTTGACGAAAAAGTTACAACAAAAAGACCGCTTACCTTTGTACCATAAGTTAGAAAAAGAAGTTTATTAAGGAACCTCGACGAAAACGCCTTCGGGATGCCCTCACGTGTAGCTTGCATCCCTAAAAAGCAAGAAGGAAAACAAAGAAACAGTGAAAAAGGAAAAAATTAACATCTAAAGCATAGAAGTTTTATATCGAAAACACAAGCTACAGTTATCGACAATTACTACTCTATATATTCACTAACCAAAAGTAACACAAGCGTCCACTCCAATCGAAATATAATTGACCATTATAAGATGCTTGTTTTTCGCTTGAACACCAAATCTTCTTCTATGAATAATATCAACATTCCATATATCTAATTTTACTTTCAATGCTTTTCTAAGCTGACGACAAATCTAAAGTCATATTTGAATTATTAAAACATGCCTGCAAAAAACTGCAAAGGTTTTTACTCTCACCTCATCAACATCCACAGGACCTGAATAAGCAGCACCCCATCCTAGAACGCGGCTCAAATCGTTGCCTGTCCCAATTGGCAAAATAGCTACAGGCGGGCTGCGATCAAACCCACTCACAATATCTAAAATCCGTGCTAATGTTCCATTACCACCAGCTACGAGAATATAGCAGTCACTCTGCGAGTTAGCACTAATCCATCTCAAAGCAGTTCCAATTTTGGTTTGTTCAATGTTGATTACCTGTGTACATAAGAAACGAATAAAAAAACTACAACACCATGTAAGCAACAAATGCAGGTGGACAAATGGTTACCTGTACTGGATGTAGCGTTCGGCGAAATGTTCGTAAAACTTCAAAGCCTAAAGCATCTCCACTTTTTGGATTGACGATTACGAACAAAGGTGTCCACAAAAATGAGCAATTTTCGGGCACACGTAAAGTCTCGATTACTAACTAAAATAAGCTGAAGATGTCTCTTTGTTCTTCTGGTTTGAAGAAGTAGCAAAACAGAGTAAAACGGAAATGAGAACAATTAAAGAGTTAATTACTAGAATTGAGAACTTATTGTTTTCTAACATATACCTGTTTTTTTCTGCGACTTCCCACCTTACGAAGTTCGACCCAATCAGGAGAAATAATAAAGTCTCGATTAACTCCAAGATCGCACTTCTCATCTATTGAGAACTTGCAGTCTGTGTGGACGCAGACCTTAAAGCTCAAGTATTCAAAGCTAATATAATTAAACGTTCCTGTTCCCTAAAGATGTCACTAGCAGAATTAAAAACGAATAAAATAACGATTCAAAACAAACTAAACTTTAATTTGTACACTTTAAATAAGAAAATATTTTTAGTTGTGAGTCACAGGAATATGAATCAAGACCTAACCCGGCATAAAACACATTGATAATCGACCAAACCGACCCCAATGCCGCACACTTCTCCGCAAACGACGCAGTCGCTAGATGGAGGCAGGTTTCCACGTACCTAAAAAACTAAAACTTTCCAAAAGAAGACAAGAAAATGTAAGACCAAATAAATCCAGTAAAGAAACTGGGAGTAAACAAATAGAATAGTTAACGAGAACTTCCGCTACTTGATGAACAAAGCGAAAAAATATATCCAGCTTAGGATCAAAGTCTGAAATTATAGGAAAAACATGGGAAAAAGTTTAGATCCAGACAATACCAACCAGAAATTTTTTTTTTTTTTTTTTTGCCTTTTAAGCGTCTGCTATACGTAACGAACGAATTTTAATTACAGTGGATATCAGTATAACAACTACAACTTTTCAGTCCACTTTTACACTCCGATCGAACAAAATTTTTATCACTTCATTCGCGAAACAGGAATGAATGCAACCAAGAAGTCAAATTCAATTCTATATTTACCCAATGGTGAAGAAGAGCGTCCGCCAACAGCCGAGGAACGATTTTGCAAGGAACCTTTGTCGAAACTGTATGAAGGCAGAGCCCTGTATCAACCACAACACCACAAAAATCACATATCATACCAAACTGCAATCCATTCTCACATAAACTGCAGTAGTACTGGCTGTACCCATCGTCAGTGAATCCAACAAAATGATGTCCCGCTGTAATTGAGTCAGAATCATCCGTTACTTACAAGTCATTTTTCACTTTTCTTTGATTTCACATGAAGTCTTTTATAATGTAAATACAAAAAAAAAAATTAAAAAGATACGAGAAAAGATAAAAGCTACAAAAGATTCAAAAATTTGATAAACAAGAATATCTTTTTACTTTAAAATCTTCTAGGAAGCTATAAAAAGATAATTAAATAATTTAACTTCAAACAAAAACCTTACTTGGTGCAATATCCGCTTCAGTAGCTTCATAAGAAAATACTTTTACTTTCAGCAGACTTCGCAATAATTTGGTTATAGCAAATAGACTGGCGGAAATAATAATAATAGGCCAAAGCATAACTGGATATACCAGTCAGAAGCTCATATCATATGTACACATATAACATATATACAGTTTTCCTTTCGGAAAATGCTAAAGTTAACCTCCGGGACAGTGTTCCTGAAAATAAACTTTCAAACTTTCAACGTCAAAAGAAAATGCAGATTTGATAAATTATTTCTTCGAAAGACAAAAAAAATAAAAATAAAAATAAAAATAAATAAATAAACTTAGTATGTCAAATAAACACAGTCACGAACAAAAAGAAAAGAAAAGATAGAAACAACAATATTTATAAATAACAAACGAAAAAAGCCATTATAAAACAATATCTTTTAAAAGATATCATTTTGGAGAAAAAAAATTGCGGCATACTAAAATACAGTTTTTGCAGTTATCAATGTGAAACCAGTAACCGCTCTAGCAATATAAAATTTTAATACTTTGATCGAAAATAGAATTCATGTATCATATAACATCTAAATAAACTAAAAAATTAATGCCCAGAAAGTAACAAATTCAAGACTCATCTTGAAAGTATTTTAGTAAAAATTTGTTTGTGTTTAGATGAAGAAGATCAATATAATATTGATAAAAGCAGAAAAGTCTCAAAGTCAGCACTCAACTAACACTGTAAACATAGAAATAGTGTGATTTAAAAAAAAAAAAAAAAATTATTCAACAAAGTGAGAAGCCAACAATACATCTAAATCAGACAGTATTTTTAAAATAAGTAAAAATTGCTGAATAATAAGACTTATTAAACGAGTTTCAGTCATAGATAACAATAATAATAACAATGGCAACAATAGTAAAAGTAACTGTAGCAAAGAAGACGTAAAAAAAAGTCCCGTGTCTATAGTATCAAAAAACTAAAGATGATAGCAACATACTGTAAACGCTATCCATCGCTTAGTGAACAATAAAATAAAATTTAAAAAAAAACAACTACGATAATAATTTAGCTATTTAAAAAAAAAAAATGAATGATTACGAAGAAATATGTTTGGAACATAAAAAACGACTCCAACAACTGAAAAATTCATTTTTGAAGCAAAAATTTATACAATTATACTAAAAAAAAGAACAAAATAGCGTGCCGTCGCAGCAGACACAACAGCTTTATCCGAAAGCTTTATGCAGCATAGTTGGGCAGCCTTCGGCGACCAGACATGTCGCTGTCATCAGCAACGATAAAGGATTTAATTTTAAATTAAACATCAATTTTAAAGCGAAAACTGTTATTGGAACTGGCAACCGGCCAACATTCGTTATAAATTTTCACATAAAATCTTCCTTTATCCAGCTAATTTTTTTTTTGGCAGCTGGCTGCTACTCATACTTTTTTTTTCTTTGAAAAAACAACATTATCTTTGTAACTTACTTTCTGCTCCTTTTTTGTTCAATTTATTTTTTTTTGCTTCTTTTTTCGAGCTTTTATCTTATCGTTTCTATGATTCATCACTGAAATATTTTATCGATGTACAGTGCAGTCGTTATGATTAACAGTATAAGGATGGTTTCTTCCTCTTCCGTTGAATTTTGCCACAAATTAACCTCTCCTTGTATTTGAAGCTTGCTCATCATTACAGTAGTATTACTGTTATCGCAGTCATCATCAGTTGTTACCCCTCTTAGTTTTTTTTTTTTTTTCGTAAATCACTGGCAAGAATTATTTATACATAGCAAACGTCTTCAAATTTATTTGTCGTCAACTTACGGCTGTGTTTCTTTTACCAATTTTATTTTTTCTCCGTTTCCTCTTCTCCCCACTCCTTTCTTTCTTTTTTTCCGTTGTAGAAACTTTCAAAATTTTTAGGCTTTTCGCTTATTAAAATGCTGGTGTTGTGATGTCGTATTTCGAACGAATTTCAGTGTTTTGGTCGCGTAGACCAGTAGATTAAGTTTTTTTAGGAACCATTAAAAAAAGAGAAATGTTGTTTTGTTAGCTTGGCTTTTGCTTAATTGGCTTCTAACTTCTCTAGGCGCGCTCTGCTTTCTGATTAGTTTTTTTGTGACTTTCATTTATGAAACTAAAATGCTGAGCGCTAATTCAATTTATATTGATTACTTGTATTTGTAAATCCATTGATGTCCACTGTTTTATGCGTATTTGTTTTGTTCAAGTGGTTGCAGAAGTTTCGATTTCAGTTATTTTTTTCCAAACGGGCGTTGTGTAGAAACTTAGCCAACCATCGGTTTTACTTCGTCAAATCGAAATTGAAATTATTCCTTTTAGCAGCTATTTTAATCTCTCTTTTCTAAAAAAAAGTTTTTTTTTTTTTCTTGTTAAATGAATGAAAAATTCGTGTTTTACTTATCTCAGATTATATTGTTTTTAACGTCATCAAGTAGTCAGGGAATCAAGTGACAACGCCAAATGTGAAAAGTATTTCTTATTCGCTGTTAGTTTATTGTTTTTTCAAATAAAAAAATTGCTCCTTACGCTTTTTTGGAAATTCAATGTATTGATTTTCGGGTTGAAGCATTTTGAGAAAAGCAAAAAGTTAAAAGATGAAGTTTTCTAAGCCCAATAGCTCGTTAATATTTTGCTCCCCTACTGAAGATGTATCCTTTCAGCTGAGTTTTTCAGTTGAGTGACGCAGAGATAAAAACTTTGAATCGAGAGGAGTTTCTAGAGGTTTGTCAAGATGTCTTAGATGTTCTCATTTTTAAAAGTATGCACTGTGTGAACATCTTTTTGGTTCCTCATTGTCAAGGTGTGTACTATAAACACTAGTATTTTTAGAAATCGATGTGTTTTACATTTCTATAAATAGGTCATTTCGAGAACAACGTTGGTTTCTTTCCTTCCAGTTTAGCAGATACTTTGATAAATGCCACAATTCCAAAAGGTGTAAATTACTTATGAGAAAATTTTTTGAGGACTTGTGTTTTAGTTTACTTGTCATTGTTCTTTCTCTTTCATTTGCTAATTATGATTTATTTTCTGTGAATAGGTCCCACTCGTACTTTATTTGACTATACTGATGTCTGCCGATAAGACATTACTCAATTTAGCCATTGCGGACGGAG